ACCCGTATAAGGCTTGCTTTACTCCAAACTTACTCTTGTATCTGGGACATAGGTTCATGTCTTTAAAATGTAATCCTAAACTTTTTTTACAAAGCTTGATTCAATTTTTGTTCATAAGTAGGACTTCGAGACTACTACTCTTTTTAAAACTTGTATTGACCTTAAGAAGATTTAACCTATCCTGATTGTGAAATTTTGCTGGCTTTGTTCACACTATTACAGTTTGACTTTTGAACGTCTTGTTTATTAACAAACAAGAAACAAGCATCATAGTCGTTATGGTGATGAATACCTTGCTTTGAGCTTACTCGGATTCTAAGTCGATACTCTTCTTTCAATCCCGTACTATCCTTGATTTTCCAAGCACACAATGTGTGCGAGAATGGACTTAACTTGGAAGTGTTCCTTATTTGATTTATATTTGAGCTCTTTTTTACTTTAAAGTGTCGAATTATCATTTATTAGAATGCAAAGCTGTCTAATTTACCTGCATTTATTAGATATATAAGCTTCACCTATTTTTCGAAGGCAAACTAATTTCTACATTTAGCTTATAAGAATCCATAAGCGATTTTTTTGTATGCAGTTAAGCTTGCTTTATCTCTGTTAGTTTAAGCATGCCGATTTTATAGTACTTATTTGGAATTTGTTATGTATTTGCTGAAATTTTTTTTACATCTAGCATCGGTTTAGGACTGTCTTATTTCTGCTCTTCTTAGCCATTCAAGATGGTCGACCAACTTGCTTCATTTATGCCTCTTCCTTCATTGACCCCCTCATATCCATTTTTCAGGTATCCCGGACACCAGTCCCCTCTAGTCCCTTACAGTTCTACTTCTTTGTCTCAGAATAAGTATGGCTTTCCAACCTATGATATCCCAAATGACGACGGGGGCTCTGCTACCCACAACGCTATGCTATCAGCTCAGCTTCTTGCTTGTAGGGCTAGACGAGCACTTGCAGCTGCAAGCGATGCCGATGAGGCTGAGCTGGATGCGAATCAACTTCCGGATGTGGAGCGCACCTTGGTTTTCTCAAAACCGCCACATCAGCGACTTGAAAGTCAATTGGTGGAAGTGGAAGTTGATCAAATAGAGGATCTGGAGGAATCCAATCTCCAGAATTTGATTGATGATATTGCACAGGCAAGATATTTATTTAATTAAGAAGTATTAACTGGATCTACATAATCCTATTGCGAATCCATTTATGTTTATAGTTCGCTAGATAATTATATTCCTTATTACCAGCCGTGCATTCAGAAAGTCTTTAGCGTTTCGACTTCATTTATTGACCAGCGGTTTCTTTGCATTGGTGTTCATAACTCAAAGTTATGCTATAAGTAAATATTACTTAGGTCTCCAAGAATTAACATTAATTCTACGTTTTTATTTTCTTAGAGGTAAAGTGGATTTCTAGGCTGGCCACATTGGAAATCGTGGAAAGGTTCTTTTAGATTTATTTTGATCGTCAATTTGGACTCCATACTCCTCATCGCACCGTCTTCTTCCTAGTTTAAACAGCGTTTAGCTTTTATTCTTTCGTTAACAAGAAGTTACTATAAAGCAAAAACCCTTAGAATATATGAAGACCAAGATGTTGTGGCCTCTGGTATGGTCGCAGTCTCCTTTCGATTTATAGAAGTG